TACAACTATTTTTCGACGATTTTCTCAACATAATAATTATTGTACCAAACAACATAAGATTTCATTGCATACACATCAGACTTATCCCATACATCAACAACAATCAAACCGTTCAACCATGTTTACTCTAGGTTCTACCCTAAGGTTTTGCTCATACATCAACCTTTCCTTAGCCAAAATGACATCTTTATGTATGTATTTACACATTTAAACATTAGATGGGTAGATAAAACTAACTAGGATAAGCTCCCCTTACCTAGAATGTGTCTTCTTCATATCAAACTCCATGTGAGTCCTTAAGGAAGAAACAACGCTTGCGACTTAGATTTTTCCCACTATTAAGAATTAGAGACTTTAGAGAAGAAGAACCTAAGAAATAAAACCCAAAATTAAAGATTAAAGTCTCGAGATCTTACCTAGATCCCAACTAAACAACTATTCTCACTTGGATTGGGAAGAAATTTGGCTTTAAGAAGGTTTCTCTAAGGTAATATGGTGGGAGAACAGAGAGAAAACGAGAAAGGAAGGTTGTCTGGTAAGAAATGAGTGTTTCTAGGCACTGAAGCTCCTTAAATACCCTTCCAGCCCGCACGCTTTCGTTTAAGCAAGGATTAGCTCGCTTAAGCGAAATCTGCTATCGCTTGAGCGAGAAAATCAGATAGTGGAACCTCTCAGATTTCTACTATTCTCGCATGGGTGAGGAACACCTAACACTTCAGAATGCTTAATTCTGCACGAAAACTTCTCTCTTGAGCGAGACTACCGTCGCTTGAGCGAGACACCCTGCACCCAAAACTCTCAATTTCTCTCTTGGATGAGATTATATTGGTTCTTAATCATATTTCCTAACTTATCTCACGTACAACACACTTAACAACTAATTTCTACTCATTTTGTACATCACACTCAACAACATCACAATACAACATTCGAGAATATATTGCTCATTACCTGGCAATCATAAATGAATTCTTCTTTTTTGCTATATTTTTTTATATTATGATTTATTTTTCTTACTTCTTGTTAACTCTACTCTTGAAAACACAATGTATCACATATTTTGATGCTAAATTTTTATTTTTTTCTTTCAATTTTTTTTTTTTGCATAAATTAACTATTTGATTTCATTTTTATGCATATATTTTTAATATTTAACTTAGAATGTGGATTTAACAAATTCAACCTGGGTGGTTGATAATATTTTGGCAAGTGCACCAAATCATTGAAGAACAAAATAGATTTATCGTCTACATGGATTAATGCTATATACCAAACTACAAGAATAACACTAGTTGGATCACCAAAATAGAGTATAAACAGAGTAAAAATTAAATAAATGCATAATTGTAAGAACTGAATTAAAAGTGCTCAAAATGAATTTGATAAATTAGCATAAACTAAGAAACTAAAACGTGGAATAATAATCAAAATAATTACAGAATTTAAATGCCTAAATTATTAGAAGTTTAAAATAATTAAAAAGTAGGTTGAGTTCATAATCCCTTATCCCTTTTCCCCTTGTATAAAAATATATGTATAACTCAAAATACAACTCAATCTAATTGTCAGATTTTCTAAAATACACAAACCCAATTCCTTGGTTAATTGGTTCTAAAACGAATTTAGCTTCCTAATCCCTTAAATAAAACAAAAAACATTCAACATTAAGATTAAAACTCATTCGACCATATCATCATAAATTTTTATTCCTAGATAATTTATAACAAGCAATTTGATCCCAGTCCAAGAAAGTTCACAACTTTTCAGCCATGAGCTCCTTTTCATCTACCTATTCATGTAAAATGAAGCGGCATTAAGTTCAGAATCAAAATGTTAGATTAAAGCTTGTATCTTGAGTTATATTCAATGCTTAATGCGTTGCAATGGGTAAAAGAATGAGTTCATCATTACTCAACCCCAAGATATTTAGCTAGACATAATGGAAGTAAATAAACTGAAACTGAAATATATTGCAGAAAAAAGAAGTCATGTTCAATTGAAAGAGCTTACAACATAAAATAAAATGTAGGACACTATTGTTCCATTACAAAACCAAGAGAAAGAAGGAATGTAACCCAACTTCTCATCAAAATCCTATAGCAAGAAAGAAAAAGATGCCCTAGCTGACATTCCCACAAAAAACTGTATGAAAACCTAAATTTTTGTTCTTTGAAAACGTAATAATAAGGAAAGATAAAGATAAAAGGTATTGACTTTAGCAGAAAATTCTACTTTTATATATTCTGTCAACATCGTATTCCCACAATCAGAAGTTCATGTCTCCACAAATATGTCTTGCAGTGATTCAATTCTTCTGTTCAATTTTAATTACCATTTTTCTTCTAATCCCTTCAAAATTCAAATGTCAGTCATCAATATATGAATGATTCGTCAATTTTTCAGCAATTACAATATTTTATTAAATTTTTCAATTAATTACACTAATTTATAAATTTAATTTAATGAAATGAACTAAAAATCTTTTAATTTTCTATATGAGTCCATCAGTGGTTAAAGTAGAAAAAGATATCAACAATTTATGTGCTTGTAGATTAAAAAAGCATAATAAGTTTAAAAAAAAATTTTATTGTATGTTATACAACTCAACCATCCTATATGGTGATAAATGTTAAGCATTAAAGAAACAATACAAAATAATAATAATAATAATAAATGAGAATATTAAGATAGATAAATAGTTACATAAAAAACACATAATAAAATATTATTGTATATGTAAAAATATTAAAATAACCCTTATAATTGAAAAATAATAAAAATTATTAAATAGTCACATGCAGAAAATAAAAAATCACGAGAAGCAAAGAGAAGAGTAGATTATGTATGTTTAAAGTTACTTAAAAGAGTGTAAAAAGAAATCTAAAAAAATTAGAAAAAATATTAAAAAATCATAATAAAAATGGGATCTGATACCGAGTTGAATAACATTTGGGAAGATTCAAGCAAGCAGTCAATCTAACTTATTATGGTGGTATTATTTATACGTGTAATTCAACACGCCTTTTCTTTCAAATTTTTCTTTAATAGTTCAGCGGTCTATTAATGTCTAGTTGGGTATAAACTACAACTAATTGGCATTCCCCAACGTGAAACCCCCATCGCATCACCGTCAGGTACATGCATTTCCCCACCCAATGTATTGTTGCCAGTTTCCATGTTAAAGTTCTTTTTAAGCTGTAATTTTAAGTCCAAAAGGCATCATATTTAAATAATTTATCAAATCAATTCTTCGCCCGTGATTTGTCTCCTTAACTAACAGGAATTCGTTATCTGCACACTGTTTTCTTACTTTCAGTTTTAAACATTTCTTAATGTTATTTAGCTTAATTATCATTCGTTTCGTAACTTCAATCAGTTCTTAAAGTTAAATTTAAGTGATGATATAAAAGTGCAATTAGTATTTTACTTTTAATAAAATTGATTATTATTAATTATTATAAATACAACTGTTGCGTTAATGGCTTCTCTTGTAAGTTGTAACTATAAACAAGCATAAAATTTTTGTCACTTTAGAAGACAAGAATAATACCACGTTGGCTGTGGCTCACTCCACGGCAATAATAATTGTGTTGGTAATAATAAATAACTGAGCTAAGATTGTGATTTGAAAGGAGGGTTCGAACGTGTAGCACTAATTAAGGGCCTTAGTGTTGACGTGAGAATAGACGTTGGACGGCGACGTCATAAGCCTGTCACAAACGTTTCCCACATCGAAAGCGCGGAAGTAGAAGCAGTAACGACGCGGAACAATGTTTGAAGATTCCTGCTCTTCATTTTCTGCGCCTTTCCCCTCTCTGGTATTATTAAATGAAATAGTTTTTGCATCTCTCATTTTACACTGCATCAAATGTTATATGAGAAGATATAAATTGGTATCAATTATCACCGATCTAATGAAATTATATACATCTAGAATAATAATCTCATCAATTTATGTTTCATTTAATCGATATTCTTAGTATTGTAAATTTCATTTGATGATATATATTTATATGAATATTATATCGCGTCATATGTTATTTTTTAATATATTAAAAATCAAAATTTTCATCTCATTTTTTTATCTACTTTTATTCATTTTCGTATCATTAATAACAGCGAAAATAAAATTCTCTTGATATTTTAATATTTTAAACACGAGGAATGTCTATAAGATATTGTTCAACATAGGTTTTAATGTATTTTTGTTATTGAATGAGATTGTTATATTGAACACGATAATAATATGAAATTAGTTTCTATGTGACGTACAAACGTGATATTTAACTGAATAGTAAATAATGCATGTGTTAAAAAAGGTAATTCTTTAAGTAGTAATTAATAATATATGATTAGTAATTTTCCTTTTAGCTGTTTAATTAAAAGGGCACGTAGAAAAAGAAAAGAAATAAAAAATTTGATGACTTTGACACTACATAGAAGGTGGGTTGGCTTCTATAAATAATTGGGTCATGGGGGAAGAAGCTTAGAGGGGGAGGTGGTCAGCAATTGGACTTCCCATCCTCACACAACTAACTAGGGGTTTTCTTGACCAAAGATAGGTCCAAGTAAAGAAAGTCAACTTCGCCATTTCTTGGTCAAACTTTTTTTATTCCTCAACTTTTCCCACACTCTTTTCATCATTCAAAAAGAGGCCCTTAAATGCCTTGCCCCATACGCACACTCGTTCCAAAACTTTCCCCTTTCTAATTTCCTAACCAATCGCTGAAACTCAAGATCTACCCTCTCTTTCCCATGCTGTGTTTCTTTCCCAGATATATTGTACCCTTCTTTCATTTGTTCATATCCCATACATTTAGGATGTGGCTCCTTTTCTGATGTCACCAGATTGTGGCTTTCTAATTTCTTATATGCTCTTTCCTTAACTGAAGTTTCTCTCAACTAATCATTTGCCAACACTATTCAAACACAATACAAGTCAGCTACAGCTACTACCTTTTATTAGTTTTGGGTGTCTATATAGACTAATAAAAGCATATATGGGAGATTGGAATTACAAAAACCTTATACATGAGCTATTACAAGGCATGGAGTTGACAAGGCAGCTTCAAATCTCACTCCACATGTCTTCTGCGTCCCTAGAAAGCCGTGACCTTTTGATCCACAAGATCATAGCCACATTTGAGAGGGCAGTTAAAATGTTGAACAAGAGAACGGGGTTAGTGGGTGAGCCTTCATATTTGGCCACAAGGGTTGCAATCCGAATGTCAGAGTCACCACCTTTGAGTGTAAGTCCTAGTGAAGACTCAAACAAAGATCAGAGAGACCTCGACCAGAGTTTTTACAAAAAGAGGTATATATTTGAATTTTGAAGTCACGCCATTATAACATAAATTATCTTCATTTGCATCTCTGTATGATGTTAGATATGATACATATTCACATGCCTTTGCCTAGTCAAATTAAGCTTTTGTCCTTTTGTGAATTATTGGTCTTCATATGACATGAAAGAAATGATTGTTGACCAAAAAGAATAATCTGTACGACCTAATAATATTTCCCATGCAACGATTTAAATTGGAGCTAGAATGCAAGCTAGTCAAGATTATGCATTTAATTTTTCACAATATTAATGTTTTGTAAATCGCTGCAATGGCTACCACAATTTAAAACATGGTTCCTATGCTTCAATTTACAAGGACTATTACAAGTGAGCAAGAGAGTTGATGATCTTAAACATATACAGTGAGCTGATCCTAACACGATATTTTTCTAAATCGATCTCAGGAAAACTGTACCAAGCTGGACAAAAAAGATTCGAGTTAACCCAGGGATGGGAGTGGAAGGACCCCTTGATGATGGATATAGTTGGAGAAAATATGGCCAGAAAGACATACTTGGATCCAAGTATCCAAGGTATCACCAAATTTTATATATATATATCCTCCTCTATCGATGCTAAGTTTTCCTATGATTATGATATATTTAATCAAAACATGAATAACATAAAGAAATGGTTAATAAAAACTTTTACCTTAATTTAATAAGCTTCTTAATATAACTTATCAAAATAAACTATTTTTTTATTTCAATATATTTTGATAAATAAATTTATGGCATAAGCTATGAGATAAAAAAAAAAAAAAAAAAGAGCTTATTGAATAACCACCTAAATAAACTATGAATGTAAAGTACCCTCCATATTATTGTATCTTAGCTTGAACTTGCTAGATTTACTTTTATTTGTACATGCAGAGGCTATTATAGATGCACCCACAGAAATGTTCAAGGATGCATGGCCACAAAGCAAGTGCAAAGATGTGATGAAGACCCAACTGTATTTGAAATCTGTTACCGGGGAAATCACACTTGCACAATGTCTCCCTATGCAGTTGCTCCATCAGGACCACAAGAAAGCCAAGAACCAAATATGACCACAGGTCCACAGCACCAAAGTGTTGACCAGCAATCAAGTGACCTACTTCTGAACCTCCGTGAAGGCCTGAGAGTCCTAACAGAGAACCTTGATCATGCCTCTAACAAACCATTTGATTCATTATTTCATCATTTCCCTTCAACCTCAAATATAAAAACTGAAGATCAAGTTTTCCCTTCTCCGGCCACTGAAAACAACTTTACTTATCCTTCTCATGTGTCCCCTGCCACATCTGGAACAACCTACTTTTCAGTTTCTCCAAGTAGTGGAAATAGCTTTAAGGGGCACCCAAATTTGGCAAGTTCTGGGTTTGAGATCAATGACATGATCTCAGCATCTACTTCTGCTGCAAACTCTCCAACCGTTGGCTTAGAGTTTCGATTTGATCAGTTTAATATATTATTAGACAGCCAAAACTTTTCCTTCGATAACCCACCATTCTCCTAAATCTCTAATAATCCTTATTTTTTCACACTCCAATTCTTACATTCGTCTTATACATTTCTACTTCTCTCTTCATTTCTTTTGTCACATTTCACATCATATAATTATCTCTCTTAGTGTATACACCTTCCAAGAAAGGAAGGAAACCAATTTTCATTCCTAATCATACCAAATTCATGGGAGCTGAACAATGGGTAAGGAAACATAGAGGTGTAAGATTCTTCACTTATCCATAGATAGTGTAGTAAGAGAGAAAAATAATTTTCTGGGTCTCAATTAACCCTTTGTTTCGTACACCAGGGACTTCCTTGTTATTCTTCTTTGTTTTGTCCCTTTCTCTCTTGGGTCCTTTAAAAGGCATTGTTTAGCATTGCTTACAGAAAGGTAAAACAAAAGTGCTAACCGAATAAGGATATGTTTGTTTAGCTGTATATCTGGACTAGTCTTACGTGCTTCGAGTCAGAGGAAGAGAAACTTGACAGTGCATTATTTTTGTTTCCAATTTTCTATCAAGTAAAATTATTTCCTTTAATTTCCTTATCTTATTTTGTTTCTGTTCTCCCAGAATTAAACACATTTAATTGTTGATAGGAAAAATATATTTTTACTTTCTGTATAAATGGTGAAAATTAATTTAAATAACTTAAAAAAATGTTTTATTAATTTTAAGTTTTTTAAAATAATTCATATAATTATTTATTAATGGCGTACTATATGCTTAAACATGTTACGTTATATATCAGAAAAAAACAACGACTAAATTAACATGTTGCACATTACATTACTATGAAGTAGTGATAGTTAAAAACTATTTTTGATAATTTTAAAATTTATAAAGATTAAAATTAAGTTTAATCATATTCATAAAAAATACAAATCCAATTAAACCTTGAAATAGTGATTCTGCACATAATATTCAAGTCAGAAGTTGTGTTATAGTGGCTCATCCGTCCGCGATTTTAGATCCATCATTAATGTCAAATGATAGTTTGGAAAACATTTGGACACGTTTAGTTGACTACGAGTTTACTGTTAAACAAACTCAAATAAAGCAAGTTGTGATTATAAATGTGTGTGTATCATATTTTAAATTAGTTTTTTTAGATTTCATTATTCTTTAATCTTTGCAATTACAAAAATTAAGTACCTTTAGACTTCCTGAAATTTAAAAGTATATTATTTTTCATAAATGTAAAAATTTAAAATAAATAAAATTAAATTGGTATTAAGTTTTTAAATTTTTTTCATATATTATTTTAACTTATTTTTTATACTTCTTTTAACTTGTTTTAGCATACTCACTTATTGATTGAATTGTATTGAATAATATAAAAGCATAAGTAGCAATCATTAAATTAAGAGTGTCATTTATATTACTTTAATAATTTTCAATAAATTTTACTTAATAATAAAAAGTATATTAAAAGATTTGTTGCTATCATAGTTTTAATTTTTTATGTTACTAAACTCTCTTTATACTTACTTTTACAATTTTTTTACATAGCACTAGCTTAACCCTCCTATAAATTTACTTTTTTATGTCACTTAAACCCTGCATTAAGAAGTTTGGCGTCAGGCAAAAAAAAAAAATATATAAGGGTAACTTAAGAAGGCATAAAACTACCGGATTTTCTTTTATTCTTCTTAGAATAGATTTTTCTTCCTTCAAAATAGAAATATTCATTTTTAATTATAATTTTTATTTAATTTATTTTTTAAAATATAGTTACTAAATAAAAGTACTATTGCAATAGAATAGGTATTTTAAATGTATCAAAAGTTTATTTCTAAGAAAGGACGATACCCATGTAAAATTATGCAGGATATTATAGTTTTCATCCCAAAACTTATTTTAAAAGTTACTTATACTGATAGCAATTTCAATCTCCATCCTCATACCATTTGAGTATTTAGATACTTATAATTAGATCTATTACCTCTGATTGAGTGAAAGAAAAATATTATTTCATATCCTAATTATAAAATATACCAAATAAAATATTTAATTAAATTTAAATCAAAATACCATGAAATAATTAATTACCCAATTTAATGTACATCAAGTATTTATAACAACCAAATAAATTTAAATAAGTTCCAATTCAACTTATATTCGTAAAACTGGCATTTTAATACTTGCACTTTTTCAGAATTACCTAAAATTAATATATTAAAACTGAATAGATATATTTAATGATATATGGAATTAAAATATGTATATGTAAAACTAAATAAATACTAAAATACTCCTCTCATATTCATTTGTACTATTTTTTATAAATAGTTATCCTGATCTAAACTCATACTTATTTAAATGCTAATTTTTCTGCCCATTGAATCGATTAGATATAGGTTGAATTGCCAACCTAGAAGGAAGTTGTTAAACTTAAAACGTGGTCCGCATCGAGAATCACATATTCTAGGCCCAACAAAATGTTTTGCATAGACGTTACTTATTAAATGTGTCAACTACCCATAGATGTGAGATCCTCGTTGACGAGGATGTGCTTTTGTTTTCAATCTGACGTGCCAAATAAAGGAGTGAAAGTGATTCAAAATCTCATCCTATGTAATCAAGCAACGCGTATTAAGTTTCTCCCAATGGACTCCTATATTTTCAGTGAAAAAATTTAAAAAAGAAAGAAAAAACTAAATAATCTATAGCAGCAATTAAGACTATAAAACTTAGTTGAGGTAAATAATCATTTTATTTAACCAAAAATTAACCATTCAAGCATCATATTTCTTAAGATAATCAACAGCAAAATTGTCCTCCATAAAGTGTAATGAAATGAATTGTTTAATATGGAAAGGAGATCTTTTGAATAAGAACCACTATAATAGTATATGGGTGTAACTTAGAAGCATCGTTGTGAATAAGTGACCAGGCAAGTTTAGTGTCAAATTCACAAATAATGTTAGCTTTTAGAGTCATATTAATAATTAAAGATAAAGCATATCTTTAGAAGACAAGTTTAGACTTGAAGTGGGTTTTATTGTTGTCTAGCTGTCTAAACATAGGGATTAAGGTTTCACTGTGGTCAATATAATAAAAAATCATGCAATGGTTGTTGAATACTAAAATGGACATTTATTCTGCATGAAGTGAGATCTAGAAGAATTTCTATGCATGTTGTGTTCATGTGTTTGATGTTATGTTGTGTTTTGTATTTTTTTTGTATTGTTCTTTGCATTTGATATGCATTTTCCTGCATCATATACACATTTTTGAATTTAATCTTTCAAAATTAACTTCTCACATGTAAATACCTTTTAGATAATTATTACTAGGATAATTTACAGTTTATTTTCTTTTTATGTTTGAGTAAAATTTTTTAAAGAGTTATTATTGACTAATTGGCTCAATCTTTGTGAGAATGAAAAATTTTTATACTCATTATACTAGTACAGAAAAGGCCTTTTGCATTGGTTAAAAATGACTTTTAATGTTGGTTGATGAATTGGTGTAGATATAGGCAATATAGTAAGTAAGAATATTTTACATCAGTTAACTAACCAATGTAGAAAATGTACATATATCTTATGAAAATTGATGGGTGGAAGGGATTGTTTAGGGGTAATCTAGTTAATATTGTTAATATTATGAAAACTTGCAGCACTACCTTATTCCACATCTCCTCATTTTGTTTCTGTAGTTCTTCATTAAGGGCATGGACCTGAATGCTGACCATGTCCTCCGTATCCTCAGATGCAAGTGAAGGAGCATATCTGGTGACAGATGCAAGAGACATGAATCTGTAATGTGGCCCCCATACCATAGATGTGGCCTTTATAAAAATTACCAACCGTCTTTGATCACATAGCATTCTCATCAATTGACTCTAGATCTTGAGAAGATGCCTCCTCAAACCTTTGAACATAATCATCCTACAGTTCAGCGCAGATAATTATATATTAGTCTTGAGAATTATTTAATAAATCATTAATAATAACATATAGTGTCAATAAGGATAACTTACATATGTGACTTAAGATCATGTATCAACCCACAAGATTTTGTCTCCTTTGTAATATGTGTCTCCTTGAACACCTCTCCATATGTAGGTGGTCACTTCAATGACTTCTCCTACAATTTTAATTAAATCACCCTCTCAAATATCACTTATAGATTGAATAAAATAAATTTTAAAAGAAAATTAAAAATCACATACCAAGTTTGCCTTAGTGTCAGCCAAAGTTATAGAGCCACCAATATGCAATGATCCCTCTTTATTGAATGTCCTATTTGTCTTGTTCTTTACAGAAAGATTTTTAAATTCATCTGTACCCCAATACTCCTGCAAGGTATAAAAGAGGTTAGGTGTTATCTAATCAGCAGATGATGCGTCCTGACGGGCCTCAGTATACATCTATCTTAGTCGTTTTGTAGTGCAAATATTCCAAGCCTTCAAAATCATCTTTTTGTCCTAGGGAGAATAGAGAAGTTGCTTTACATAAATACAATTTCATTAGAAGAGGTACAAGAAACAATATCTAATTACACTTAACTAAAATTAATTAACTATTATTACCTTTTAATCTTTGAACCATTCCATCTTTATATCCTTAGGCACTTTTGCAAAACTTATGTAAGGCGCATCAAACATCTTCTTAATGGTATTTGTCACCTAGTGGAGACTCTTCTACAGTGGTATCCAACTGAACACACAATAAAATAATACAATTATTTAGGCAAGTGAAATCAAATAAAGTTAACTTACCGAGTGGACTCATCCCATCTCAAGCTTGCAAGCGATTTGGATGATGCCTGAGTCTATGGTGATTGTTGGCCACTTACAATTAAGACAGCAATGGATCCCTCACTTGTACCCTGTGTAGAAGGAGACTGTGTGGTACGTGTAGTCGGCAGTGCAGACTGTGAAACTTGTTGTATTGGAGGTGAAAGAGCAACATTTTTAGGGTTAGGCACCATGATAAACTGTTCCTACCCTTAGTTTGGGAGGTCTGCAATGTAGCTGGTGTGGAGGTAGAATGGGAGCGGT